GGTTACCTTATCATGAACGCTCTAGTTCGAATATTTGTATTCTCTCAACATTTCAACAACACAGTCTATCTCTAAAGAATCCTAATATTTTATATATAATCCTACTCATCGACTAAGTCCTTTTTTCAGCATATTGACTCTTTACAACCTCCTTTTATCTCTGCAGATCTCCTATCTTCCTTATCTTCTGTCAAGGTATTTGCTCAAGAATCCACTAAATTAACCGATAGCACAAAGATACCTAATTTCCAGTGACTCTCTAAAGAATAAAGATATTTCACTTCCTTTGGTTCCTTTGGTCATTCCAAAGATATTTCACTTAATTGACGAGTCGGTGACTTAATTGCGAAATGGTTGCCACCGAGAACCAAGGCGAAAGTAAAAGAGGATAAGACGGCTCAGCAGGTTATTAGTCAATTCAAAACGTCGATGCTTTGGTTCTGTGCATGCTAAAAATCAATCTTCCTTTAAAAATCCCAGGTGATATTCCCAACTTATCTATATTTCTATCGCCAACTCCGAGTCGCTGTTGAAATTTGCCTAATTCGATAAACCAGCGGAGCAAACCTAACCAGCAATGATAAGCACTTTTAGAAAGAAAATTCCACTTAATTCAAATGGTACCATCATTCTTCTTCTTATAAAAGCGTTCATCACTTCTACTTACTAACTTTTTATAAGAATGTGGAACTTCCAACTAAAATTATATACTCTCTGAAAATATGTGAAACAAATCGCCAGATTAATAATATTTCATTCGGTCGTCGTTATTTAACATAAAATCGTCAAATAAAAGAAATTATTACATTGTGTTCTCTCTCTACCATACCAATTTTTTATTTCTTTTTCAATTAACATATGAATTGCATTGTAAACGAAACGATTTTATTCACCAAACCATTCTAAACTTTCATATATTCCTTAATTTTTTTCGCGAAACTTAAAATACAAATAATTCCCTCGGGAAAATAAATATATTTTCTAGGCTTCCTGAGATCAATCGGAATATTTTCTGCATGTGCTGTGAGATCCTCTTGGGATCCAAAAAACAAGTTCTTTGAGTTTTTCTAGATTTAACATTTGAACAACAGAGTAGGCGACAATTTTTCGTAGATATTCAATGGCTGTAGGCGTATTATTTAAAAATTTTTCTTACTAATTTTAACTAGTGAAAGTAAGAAATTAGGGGGAAAAAGCACCTTTAGCAAACATCATTTTTTAAATTGTTCACTTTCTATTATGTTTTTATCTTATCATTGCGAACTAAATGATAAAACAAAATATTTATCTCAAAATTTATGGCTTTTTTTTTGCAAAAAAAGTAGAAAATAGTGTAAGGTAAAGAAAAGATCTTACTTCACAAATTATTAGCTTATCTTTTAACATCCTTTCACTTCCGGCGTTGAACCACTACAGTGACTCGAGAGAGAACTACAAAATTCCTCGTATTTGATGGAGTACTGCTCATAGAATTAAGTTTCATTGAAAACAGTTGTCTTCTAAGCCAACATTACAATTTCATTCCTGTAATTGTCCACTTAGAATTCTTTCGATTGGCCTATGAAATTGGCCAAACCAGAAATGGTATGGTAATATTAGTAAATGAAATTGCATCCGTTTTTAAATTCTTTCTAATTTTCATCATGCTAAATTTTTTATGCGTTACTAGATTTTTTGTTCCTTTCAAGTGATAAGCCAAAGAATTCATTTCCTTCATTCCTTTTTCTTTTTCTAAAATACTTTAAGACAATATTCAGTAATTTTTAATTTTTGGTTCTTAATTTGTTTATTAAAGAATTCTTATCAAAAATTGTTCATTTCATCATGCCGAACCACAAAAAACAAACATATTTTGAGAAGAGAATACTCTTTCACATTTCGAATTGGTTTCTTATTTTTAAACTTTTTATTTCAATTAGCCGTTGAATAGAGTAATACATTTTCTCTTTGAGCACTCAACATTTTTGATTGGATCTCCATTGGTTCAATGGACCAGAAAAATTCCGTAGGGAATTTGGTGAAGCGGCTTACCAGTACCACCGGGATGTTTTATGTTTCTGCTAGAAATAGAACTCAAAATCCAAAAATAAGAATAAAAACTCACTTTTCACCTGATAAATTGTTTATTAATTAATCTTTTTAAAATCTATTTTCAATTATTATAATTATAATTATAATATTATATATTATATTATTATAATTATTAATAAGCAAAATTATTTATTTATTTATTATTTTTATGAATTATTTAAAGACATTATTTAATTATTACTTAATTATTTAATGTTAATTTTATTATTTCATATTATTCACTAAATTATTTAAAATAATATTAATTTTGAGGCTAAAAATCTTTTAAGCCGGAAAAATCCTCAAAAAATTTATTGATTCTTTATTACTATTAGTACAATTGAAAAAGCAAATTTTCCTTTTCTCTTTTTTTAGGTGGAAAATCGTTTATCTATTATATTTGATTATTTCGCGCTAGTTTTAATGGAATTTCAGCGGTGTTTTCAACTGTTATCATTAATCCTTTCGCGAATATTAGTATTTTTTAATTATTTTAGTTTCGAAGAAGTTCATTTTATTTTTTTTTTTGCACGCTGATAATAATACAATATTCATAATCATTTCCAATTCTTCTGCGATTTAGTGGTCCCTTTGGCAATAATAAGAATATTTCATTGTAATCATTGCCGCAATTAGATAATTTTACATTTATATATTTGAATCAACATTTTTCAAAACTTACAAAAATTTTTTGTACAAATTTAAATTTGCAAAAATTTTGATAATTTTAATAATATTCCCAAAAAATAATTGCGACAAACAAATCGCATTTATTAATTTCATTAATAATTATTTATTTTTATTAAACATAATTAAACATTTTTACTATTTTTTTAGATTAAAATTTCGTTTTTTATTTTGCATATTTATTGTTATATTTATTGTTCATATTGTTTTAAATATTATTAAATACTTATTATTAAATATTATTAAAAAATTTTATAATTAAATTCATATGATCTATGTGAAAGAAACGAAAAAGTTTTTTTCAGAATGATTTCAGATTATTTTAAAAATTATTTGTGTAACACGTGAATATTTGAGAAATCAAAATTTTATGTGATTTATTGTTGCGACTTAAAGAAATCATTTATTTGTGAACTGTTTAAATAAAATGATATATGTCAAATGATGTTTTATAATGCGATAGTTAACCAACCTCAAAATCACTCGAAATCTGACGACAATAGAACATTTTTTTTATTTATTATCAATTATTATCTATTCATTATCAACTGATTGAGTTGCCTATGTTGTCTTATCTCGTAGTTCGTTCGCTTAAACCTCTCCGAATAATGTTGCCAATCCAACTGCAGTTCTATCTTTCAAGTGATTTCTAGTGAAATTTTTCTATGAACATGCCAGTCGCTTAAAATTTGTTTATACTTGTGTATCAATGATTTCTTTTCTATTACCTAATGACACGTTAAATGGTTGTTATTATTTTTTAAAAAATTTTCCTCTATCTATTTTAAATTATTTTTATCACTCCTTCAACAATTGTTTCATTTGGCATCGTTTAATATTATGAAAGTTTTTAATTCAATCGTATAAATAGGGAATTTACATACTCGTCAAAATCTTTTGCAGCACTACTGCCAGTGCAAAAAATAAATCTGACAAAAATATCTTTAACACTGGCAAATTAAAAGAAGTCTAAGGTGCATTGTCCATAAAATATCGTTTATATATGTATAGAATTCCAAATATTTAAAAATGAAATATTTGAATGATTTGAATAATGAAATGGAATAAAAAAAAAAGTTTAAATTGTCCAATATAAAATACCATTGCAATGAATTGCGTAAGTTATTGTACTTTAAAACTTCGATAATTTGCTTAACATTTATTCGCAAATAATAATTTATCATCAAATATGGAAAGAAAGTGATTTATATTTGATTGAAAAAATGAAGGTTATTTCATTTCAAATTTATTAAATTAATCAAATTTTCTATAATTTTTCATTTGTTATTATAATTCGTAAATTAAAAAAAAATGATTAGAAACACTTCACATTGGTTTACGTAGGTTTATTCCTACGAAAGGTTAAGAAACGAGAAATGAGTGCTTCATTCCCAGTGAAACAAACATTTGACAACCATTCTGCTCGGATAAGAGAGACAGCAAAATACTAAAATATTGCCTACAGTATCATTTAAAATCTCTTAAAGATTTATAAGTAATATTTCTCCTTGTTTCCATTTATCAAAGCAAATTTTTTTTAGTCCACCATTATGATTTTAAAAAAATTGAATGATGGAACTAATAAAGATGAAACATTCTTCTTTGTAATCAGAATATTATCTATTTTCTTTGATAATTATGAGAATAGTTCGATTATTCGATGTTTCATTTATGCGCTAAAAATTTCAATAAATATTTTTTTAACATTGTTATCACATTATTATTTTTTACACTATCATTTATTTTTATTTATAATATAATGTTATATTATTTATAAAATCATATTATTATTATTTATAAATATTATAATTATTATTTAAAATAACATTATTTCTGAATATAATATTGTAAGTAATATTTCTAAATATTATGATCATAATACAATATTTATGTAAACAAATATAATATATAGACTTAGGCAGTGGAAAAAGGAATGGCTTCTGTTAGTACTAGCGATGGCGTCGGACTGAGCAGCTTGGAAATGTAAGAAGATATTATAATAATAATGTAATTTGGCAAATTGCTCGCAAATTATTTTTTTCGCAAATTAAAATTTTTCTCGACAAATGTTTTAAACTTTTTGGCATATTTTAAGCAATACAAACGATATTTAATGGAATAGAAATTTCTTTTTGATAGGTTTTTTCATTTTAATAAAAAAATAAATGATAACGATAAGTTCGATCCACTGATTGCAGAGATCTGTCCGCATTAATGTTTTGTTTTCCATTTTTTACCATAAAATGGTCATAAAAAGAGCGGAAAGAATAGAATTAGATTTTGAACAGGTTTAAGGGGAACTTTATTTTGTTTTTTCTTTTTAAAGTTTTATTTTATTTTCGAATTTCTATTTTTGGTCTATTTTTTTCATCCTTATTTTAATGCGTTGGCACTATAAGGAAGTATTCTTCTTTTTTTTTTACCAACATATTTTTGGTAAAACAATTCTCATTATCAGTTTATCAACAATCCATAAATTCTTTTGTCGAATTTATTGAATGTAGAATGCAGTTGTAGCAGACAAAAATTGATTTAAAAAAACGAAAAAAATTGTAATCATTGTTTTATTAAAGTTGCAATTGTTGCAATTTTTTATAAATCGATTTCTTAGCCAGCATTTAGTAAAATTTATCAGTTATATCAGTTCGACAGTTACACGGTTTTTCACTCAACAACCATTAATTAAATCGGACTGCACATAAATTAGACATTTATTGCCACATGGCAAGATAGTCGACGGGTTGCTGTTCAGATTATTGTCTTGAAAATTAGAGCTTCGTGATTTGACTTCCATAGAAATAAAGCTTGCGTATTTACTTATATATTTGTTTATACTTATGATAGAAGTTATCAATGTTAAGTCACAAAAAATTGTAATTTTATATATTTATATTTTTATGCACATATATATAAAAGTATATCGATTCATAGTGGATTTTTTGAACAAACAATTCAATTCAACTGATAAATCTCTATTTAGTTCGAGGGGCTCTTTCGATCTTTAAATCATTAGCAGATCATTAGCGGTTCAAACTAGTCTGCTGGAAAGGATGATATGGCTTTCCATCTCGATAGAAGTAAACCTATCAATAAAAAATATGCCAGTGATATCCACTGATGCCACTGATATGTGACTGTATTTATATCGCTAAACTCTCGCAAAAATTTCTAAACATGCCAACAATCAGCGTTGAAAGGCTAACCAAAAATGATGGGCGCTAATTATTTTACTTATCTAAATCTTGATATTCATTTGAAATAAAAGGAGAGATGAAGAGAGAGGTCATCAGAATAATTCATCCGTTCCATTTTGAGATTCGATTTGAAAAAAAACCTTTTATCAAATGATTCTAATCGACAATAGAATATACTTATCATATTTCAGCAGTAAATTAACATTTGTGGTCTTTTTAGGTTCTATGAACGAGCCACCCGTGACCGAAATAAGGGCACCTATACGAGGTTATTTTAAAAATTGAATAATCCCAACGAAAGCTATTTGGTTGTGGAAAAATTCATTCTTCATTTTTTTTTTCGTTTCATTTATTCTTCAATTTTATATTTTATAATTTATAATATAATTATTTTAAACTAAATTAAATTAATTTTTTGAGATTTTTTTTGCGATAAAAGAAAAATACGGAAAAAATTCATGCAAATCTTGAAAAAGCATATACATATTTAGCACTTTTTTAAAATTTTATATGCTAAGTTCGATTCTATTTAAATTTTATTAGTAATAAATCTTTGGAAGGAGAAAAATTCTCGTGAATTTCGCTCCAGGATGGGTGAAAATACAGTTGGAAGCAGTTGATATTCCGCTTGAAAACGATGAAACTTTGTTGCTATCAGCCGTTCAGTCACTTATTCCTGGTGCACATGGACTCTATTATCGAGAAGACGATCAGAAGAAAGCATTAAAGTATAATTTGCTAAAATCTATAAATTCGTAGCTTTTTTGATTTCTGTGCGACTATTTTTTGAATTATTTCGAAGGCTTCAAAAGATTTTAATGTTCTTAACGTTTAATCGCTGAATCGATTTATTACGTAGCAAAAAAATGATTTTTGTTATACAATCAGATTCCTTCGAATTTAGGATTAGCCGAGAAAAAAATTTCTCGGTGAAAAAACCTTGAAAACCTTGAATTTTTCCACTGTGCAATCATTTGCATTGAAGGACTTTCAGCTGAAAAATCTTTAGAGAGAAATTTGATAAGGAAATTTCTTTAGGTATGACGGATCAACAGGACGAGTTCATAAAGGTTCACAGGGTTGGCACTCAACACCAATTTACGTTCATCTTGGTTAGTTTCTCATATCTCATTTTCCTTCTTTTGTCGCTCACTGCTACATATTTCTGTAGAGTTCCACTCACAGATTTCAATTTAATCATAGTTTACATGAAATGACATCTTCATAATTTGCACTTATCACTTATCATTTAATCAATTTAATTAGGCAATTCGATTTTTAAGTCAAAATGATTTTAAAAAAAAAAGCCTGAAATGAAGGTTTTACTAAACTAGTTTTGCAATTTGAAAAATTGCTTTTCAAAGATTTTTGTTATTTTACCCAATGAAAAAAAAATTTTTTTATTGCTTTTTGAAAAAGAAAAAATTAGTAAACAAGTAAAGAGAAGGACGGACTGCATGAAAATATCTCATAAATTTCGTTCATTCAATGTTTATCGAAATTTTCCAAGGGAACATTTCTTTTTTTTATTATTTATTTATATTTTATTTATTAAAAAACAAGAATTAAAAAAAATTTTTTCTCTTTCTCTTGCAAAAAAGCCAATCAAGATCAACTTATTGTACCAATTCATTACAATAAGTTCATTGTATATGGAAAGTCATTTATCAGTTGATTAGCGATTACTTGATGAGCAATCCATTAAATAGATCGATATATGGTACTAATCACTAATCACTTAAAGTAAAATGAAGAGATTTTCGCAAAGATTCGTTTTTCTGTTTGCGAAATTTATCTTGTTTTATTTATTTTTGAGATTATCAAATGCACCATAAGCCATGAGCTTAATGCACAAGCAAAAAACAAAAAATTAGGAGAATTATTAAATAAATAAAATATTAAATAAATACTAGATAGGGCAACATAAAAGACAATATTTATTAAGGCTGGGGATCCTAATATTTCATAGATAATGTCGGTACAATAAGAAATTTTTGTCAATGCTTACTGTTTAATTCCCACTCGAGGCAAGTGTGCAAATCTTGGCTCCATCTGATGCATTTATTTATTCACATAGATCTCTTCACATGAAATTTATGCCTTTTTGAAGTGGATGCATGCTAATGACGTGGTTCAGATTATAATCTCGAGTTTTGAGGCCTGGTTATGGCTTCCAGAGGAAGTAATAAATCCTTCATATCCGGATAATGTAACTGACTCGCATATAATTATTGCTAAGTAATTCTCTCGTAAAAATTCCTCATCAGACTACCGGTCGGCACGACGAATCTAAACAGAAACAATTAATACTAAATCTTGCCAGATTTTCTATTTTCGCATAAACTTTTCTTGTTTTTGTTTTTTTTTCAATTTCCAACAAAAATTTACCATTTAAATTCTTGCTTATCATGTTTTTATTTTGCAACTATCGAAAAAATTTACAAACACTACGCGAGAAATTCAATTAAGAAAACTAAAATAGCCTTCATAAATCATCCTTTTTCAAATAGTGTCGTCGCATGATTCCAATCATTCCGACAAGTATTGCATGAAGGCTATTAACAATTGCTTTTTTCTCTCTGATCGAAAAATTTCCACTGCTAAAATTAATAAATTATAGCGATATTTCAGTGAAAATATTTTCTAAAATAAAAATCTCATAAAAATCACTTTGCGATTCTTTAAGCTCATGGATATCGAAACAGTTGCGGATCTTCTGAACAATACGAAAATGCGACGAGAACATTTGAGAAAAGTGTTAACGCGGTGCACCGTATGATAGGTAAGTAATTCGAAAATGAATTCGAAAATCGCTGTAAAAATAGAATAAAATTACTGGAAAATGAAAATAAAGAGGGCTTTTTGTTCGACAATTTATTATTATTATATTATTATAAAGAAGAAACTTGCTGTTCACTGCATTCCCTCTTTTTAATTGGCTTAGTTTAGGTCATAAATAATTCAATAGAGTTACATTATAAATATTTATATGCTGATAAAATATACGCTGATATGATAAAACGTGCTGATAACCTATTTTAGTGGATTCAGTCGATATATAAATATATATTTATGTATTGCTTATTAATTCGTCGCATAAAATAAATGGTCATAATTTCTAGCATAAAAAATTTAAAAATATTTCTCGAATACACAAGGGAATCGAGATAGTTTATTTTGGATGAAAAAATTTCATGAAATTTTCATGAGAAAAGATTTTGAAAATTTTCAGCTAGTACCGGCTTAATGAAACGAGAAGCGTCACCTGGAAAGGTATAAAATGCCGATTGCTACACTTATAAATATTGTCCATTTTTTGCTTACTTCAATCTCTTGCATGCTTTAAACACGGAATTCTTTTGTTCCTTATTAAGCAACAATAGTTCTTTCTCGTTCTTCTTTTAAGAGATCGACAGCTTGTAAACGTTGTCAATGAATAAATGAATATCTCTTTCGATTTTATATATTTTTAGCAAATTTAAGATAAATGACTCAAAATTCCTGACGAAAAGTGATGAAATGAAAAGAACAAATGAACAAAAAGTTGGTGAAAATGCAGAAGAAATATTTGTTAGTTCTCAGATATTTTTTGAAACGAAAATTTTTCAAAATTAAAAATTTGATATAAAATTTCAATTTTTTTTTATTTATTTTCAACTTTTAAATTTATCTGCGATTTTTATTTCTCTTTGAAAACTCAGATAAAAAAATCATTTCATTTCACTCATAAATCAGCCATTTAAGCTTGAAATTTTTAAAAAATATTTTTAGATAAAGTCGGACGAATTTAGTTTACAAAATGAGAACAAAAATCTAAAGCTTAAGTAAGTTTATCGGAAAATTTTCTTATAGAACGACTTTTTCAATAGAAAATATTTGCCTGCAGAAAAATAAATTTAAATTTTTATAAGGAATTTTTATCGAAATATAATCGAATTTTAAGGCGAATAATAAAGCAGAGATAGCGCAAAGACATTAGTGATAAAGCATTTGATAAGCACTTAGCTTATTTCTGTGAATTAATTATAGGCTAGACCAACTTCAAAAAGAATTGGAAGAGATGAAGAAATTCGGCATGCAAAATTCCGTCGCTGGAGGGTGAATTTTCCTTTCTCACTAAAATTGATATAAATTTTTTTGAAATAGCATAAAGAAATAAATAAATGAATGAAAAATTTATTATGAATTTTAAAATTATAAATTTAATTATAATTATAATTTTTAAAATTATAACAATAATAAAATCTTGAAAAATGAAAATCATACGAAGGAAAGAAGCAGAAAAGTTCGTATATTTTTATTTTATTTTTTATGTTTTCTATTATCTAAGTTTTATTTTTTAAATTTACTTTTAAAAAATAATTCTCATTATTATTTTATTATTGTTATTATTATATTTTTATGGTTATTTTATTTATATTTTTATTATTATTTTAATTTTTATAAGTTCTATTATTTAAGTTTTGTTTTTTAAATTTAATTTTAAAAAATAATTCTTATTTATTTTCAAAATTTAAAATTATTTATCGCATTTCCTCATTTGCTATTTCCATTAAAATATTAAAATTATTTGCATTTTTGCTTTTCTTTTTTAGCGAACGATTATTATATGCAACATTGTTGGATTCAGAACAGGTAAATACGGTAAGATTTCACTCGTTTTTTTTCCCTCTTGGCTGAATCTAATGAGGCTCATTCATATTTTAAGGCCTCTCAATCCGATGTCACACATAGGATGAATTATTTCATTTTGGCTTCTATACAAGTGAAACGTTTTTATATGCGTTTTTTTTCTCTTAGCATTTTTGAAACGATTTCTTTGCCGAGAAAAATTGGTAAAATTTTCAGAACGCTATGCTCGAACAAGGACTGAATAATATGAAAATTGCTAAAGAACAGTATGTTTCCTAAATTATTCGCTGATCTTATCTTTTATTATCTTTGAATTATCATTTGATAAAATAGCTTAGTTTATTTAATTTAGGGTCGAAATTGAACTGCGAGAAGAGCGAATTCGAGCGCAGCAATCCGATTTTATAAAATCTAGCTTAATAAGCGATTTGGAATTGAGCCTTAGCGAGCATAAACATTGGCTTAGTGATGCACGAAAAAGGTTTATTTTTAGTTCACGCAAATAATATTTTGCAAATTTTACTGAAATCTATTTTTACAGGAAGCAAAAACTTTAATTTTTCAGGATCATTATGCTCGAAGAAGAATTAACAAATAAAGGAAGTGAATATGAAACAAAAAAGATTTATTTAGAAGGCTTCGTTGAAGATTTGCAAAACAAGTATAACCTTATATCAGTTTTTGTATAGCGCAGTGGGAAATGAACCACACTGCAGTATTCAAAGGCAAGGGTTCGAGTCCTATCCATGGCCGGTGTGCCTTAAAAAAGCGAGCGAGAGGTGGCCGCACTCCGCATATGTCTCTACTCTAAACTGTTCCTTGGCCAATCGTGGAAATTTCGAACCATATTACTAGCATATGCAGCTTAACTAGTAATGATCGCTAATCTTGCATATTAATGAAATTTCTTTGCGCTTTATAAGAAAAAAGTATTGAAGAACCACTGCAAATTTTATTAGTTTCTACTGATTTAACCGATTCCTTTAGTTCCACCAACCAACTTTTGCAAAAGTACCACTTGAGAATAGAAGCAAAGGTATTACATTAGTACGTCAATTAATGAGAATACCTCTGCATATTATGACGAACTTCGAATATCGAATATTGTAAATATTCGTTTGTTATCTTTTCCAACTTATTAAATTTTTAAATTTTTCCCCAGTTCTCATTATTTCAGAAATAGTGCCATGCAACATGAATTGGCCGAATCAGGCAAGGAAATTGATCGCCTTTACGGAGAGATTGAACGAATAAAACAAGAATTCGCAGAAAGGTCTTCAGAACATGCCAAGTATGGATGCTTAATTATTTTTTTTCTCTTACATTTATAATGTATTTTCAGTGAGTATTATGGCGCAATTGCTGGCTTGAAAGATGAGCTTATTTCAAAAGAATCGTTTATCAGAACATTAAACCATGAAAAAAGCGTTGCAGAATGGTCACTTGGGGAACATCGACAATGGTTATCTGATGCTAATCATAGGTTGGTTTTTTGCTATTTGCTAAATTTTCCAATTTTCATTGGCTTCATGAATGCCATGAAAAAGTATAAAACTATCCTTCTTTGAAATATTTTTAAAATATTTAAAATATTTTCAAAATTTAAAATATTTTTACTTGTTTTTCCACTAAATTTTTTATGATCAAATTTATTTAATTTTATTGCAAGTTTTACTGCCTTTAAAATTATCAGTTTCAATCTTATCACATCATTTTAAAAAATCAAAGATTAGAAAGAAATTTTACTGAAGGTAAAATTTTTATCTGAAAAAAAAGTAAAAAGTTAAAAAAAGGTTCGGTGAAAAAATGAATTTTAAAAACTTTATATTTAATAAAAAATATTTATTTATATTTATTTATTTATTTAAATAAAAATATTTATTAAATAATTCATCCATATTTATTAAAAAAATTTTTAATTTGTCAAAGGAAAGTAATTTCTCGCAATATTTAAGATAATTTTAGAATCTCAGAACTTGAGGAAATGCTTAAAAGAAAAGAAAGTGAACCGAATGAAAATTATGAAAAAACTTTGGTAATTTTATTTTTTAGAGTTGAAAATGTCTATAAACCAACGTTTTTCCGATTAGTTTCTAAAATCGTATAATTTCCATTATTCTTTATTTTATGGTAAATGACCAATGCAGTAGAATAAAATGGATAATTGGCATTCTCAGTGGACAGTTTTCCTAAAATATTTTCGAGAGAAATTGTTTTTAACGAATTCCATTCATCATTTTTCCCTTTTATAGCAAAAGATAAGAGAAGAAATGGATGAAAAATTATGCAATGAACGTTCAGCTGCAGAAATGATTATCAATAATTTAAAGTAATTTAATTTCTAAATTGAAATTGGTACTTATATGTTGCAGTTTCACAGTTTCAGCTTTCATTACAAAGCAATTTTATTGACAGATTTTTTGTATATTCTTCAGAATATTCTTCTTCTAAGTCATTCTAGTAAGGCATTTTTGATTTGGCTGGTTTTGGCTTGAAACGAGCCTAAGGTAAGCCAAAGAATCACTTGGAAGTAAAGGTAGAAGTGAGGCAAGGAATTATCAGCTGGCACATAATTTTTAATCATAACTTTTATCTTTTCTTGCATATTTCGTATTTAATAAATGATATTATCCATTTAAAGCTGAATTTTTTTTATAAAAAATTTTGTAATAATATTATTATTGAAAGTTCCTTACGCTGTAAATACGATGAACTTCAATATGAATTAAATATGAAAAATACTGAGATGGACGATTTGAGAAAAATGAAAAATGATGCTGAATGGCATCTCGGTGAACATCGACAGTGGCTTCATGATGCAAACAATAGGTTCAAATTCCAATAATTTTACAATTTTTATTCAGAGATCGATAAAATTGATGATAAAGGTGATAAGAGTGATAATAATGATCTAATGATGCAAAGCATTGGCATAATACACCTAAATCAACTAAAACTCCTTTAATATCCTTTTAATCCTCTCTAACCCCCTCTCAGTGTCCCACTATTTGCAACACCCCTTCGAAACTCCTTTGTGCTTCCTTCGGACATCACTTGCCTCAAAGAGGCGACGGCAGTCGCATTACACTACGGATCACGTCAAGACATCTCAATATTTCTATAATAATTTTTAGAATAAATGATTTGACGAATCAGATCAATGAAAAAAATCAGTTCATTGGTGCAATGAATGAAGAAATAGCTGAATTAAAGCGGCTAAATATAGATTCAAGAAACGACGATGAAATAAAGTTTGTAGCTAATCTATTTATGCCATCTAAAAATTAGGCTTAAATTGCACTACGCTGTTGAATTTTTCAGAAACCTTAAAGAGGAAATTAATCGAAAGAATACTGAAATAGAAAGTTTGAATGAAATCAACAATGACCTGAAACGCAACTTAACCGATCATGGACAATGGTTGAAAGACGCTAACGACAGGCATGCGATGTCATCATTTTTTCCTAAAACCCTTTGCAACTCAGCACTTAGTCCAATAAAACCATTGAAGAATGCCAGCGAAATAAACCTACGAGTATATTCCACATTTCAGAGATAATAAATATGTGAATTTACGGGTTTGCACTGGTAATTCCGCAGTTCCAACAACAATGTATTTTAGGCTTCTTTTTGACATTTTAGGCTCCTTTTTGTCAGTTTTATTTTGCGATTTGATTGATAACTCCATGAAAATAATAATTTCTAAAATGCAATTCAAAATGCATTAAGGAAGATGATAGAAATTCAGAAAAATGAAATTCAGAATTTGTAATCTGATGGATGAGATCGATGAGAAAAACAAAGATTTCAAGGAGAAAAGCTTGGAAGTGGAAAATAAAATAAGTTTAGAAAGAACCGATGAAAAGCCAAAAGCTGAATTCGAGAAGGTTTTTTTCTAAAAAAATTTATTTATTAGTAATAAAAGTTTTTATTTCTTCAATAATTTTCATTTAACTGACGAAATTTTTCAGCTCGAAAAGCAAATTAAACAGTTAGAAAAATCATTGCGATTCACTAAGCAGTTATTATCCGAAGCACCAACGAATGATGAACTGAGGTTCTTTTTCGTTTTGTCTGCACCGAATGGTCTTTAAATTAGTTGTTCTTAATTATTTACTGCACCAGCTTTGCTCGGCTGAGCTTCCTTCCCCTTTCTACCCCCCCCCCCCCCCCCCCCCCCCCCCCTTTTTACCCCCGCATTTTTTTATTTTCTATGAGAATATATTTTCTATGAGAAAATATTATCATCCAAAAGAAATTGTTAATGGTATTATTGTTGAATAGATTATTAATAGAATTAGACATATTAAATATGAATAGCTATTAAATGAGAGTCTGAGAGGATCAAAGAACTTATCCATGAACAACTTCAACCTTGGCCCTTAAACAGTGATAAACAACGTCTTATGACTTTGGAGAGAAGAAATGAATTAATTAAAAACTGCAAAAATGATTTAAAAAAGGCCAAATCCAGAATTTTAAAAAAGGCAGCTGGTCCAGTTGGATGATATGGTTAAGCATATATATTTAAATTGGCATCTCTGAAATTTTAGATCATTGCATTCGAAGATTGATGATCTCCAGAAAATGATAAATGATAAAAATTGTGAGCTGCATGAGACAAATTTGAAAAAGAACGACATAGAATGGAGTCTCGGTGAACACGTGCAATGGTTGAACGATGCAAATAATAGGTTAGCTAGTCATTTGTGAATATTTTAAATATTTCTTTAGCAGATGCGAACACATTCCCATCGTTATGAAAATATTTTAAATATTTTTGCTAATAGTGGAGTGGTTTTATTCTATTCTATTATATTTGCCTATTTTTTCCAAACGGCATATGCAACTTTGGCCATCTTTGGAATCAACTAGGATTAATTAATGAAGGGAAGATTGATAAGAAAGTTATCGTTAAATCAAATGATGCAGCGGTGACTTACTGCAAGGTAGCTAACGAAATTAAGACACTATAAATATAGAACGATAAGATCCATAAGAGAAAAGGAAGCTGGACAAGAGCCAATGGACATTTGACATGTCGATAAAAGCCATGCAGGCGAAGCTGGTCAACGCCTTTTCGTATGTGTATGCGTTTGCATGTCTCTGCCTGTTAAGGAAGGAAGAGTAACAACGCGTATAACTTCTAACTCTCCATTTGTAAATTTTTAAAGGATAAAATGGTTGGAAGGTGAATGTGCAAGAAAGGACAATGAACATAGAAAACAAATTGAACAATACAGGGAAGAAATTGAATTCTGTAACAGGTGAGAAGACTATTTGCTCAGTTTTCTTCCCTCATATTTCTTCTCTAGATCACATTGAATCACAAATGAACGAATTTTTCACCAAAATTCCAAAATCCACCAAAGTTCCAATCTTATAGGCCCTCTATTTTCCATTAATTATTGCCTACATTCTCTCAACGTCACTTTTTTCATTTTCTCATTTTTGCATAAAAATTTGATGATTTTGTAAAAAAGACAACCGTAATAACGGAGTAGAGAAAACGGAAAAGAGACAATTTACCAAAAAAAAAGGAAAATTTTTATATTTCGATAAAATCTGGCAGATCGTTTAGGAATTTTAATAAAAATATAAAGCCATGAATAAGGAATAGAATGGCTTAGTGGACCGCTCAATGCGGAGCGCCGATGCTGAGGTTCCACTCCCCACGGGAGTAAACCTATCCAGAAATACGGATGATGGTGGCGTACTTCTATCGCCAGGGAACCTCCTGGCATATTTGTCTAGTGCGACAAGTCAGCGGAGCGAGCCTAACCAGTAATGGTGAAGGCTCTAAAAAATTATCAGAAATCTAAAAGGAATTAAATAAATGAGTGATACAAAGATAAGATAAAAGGAAAACAAGAGACCTGAAATTAACATATATATACAAATATATGACATTCCACCTTTTATGCTACCAGAGATTTCACGCTCTTATTGCACTTATAAAATTTTATCTGTCTTATTCGATTTCCTCGAATGAACAATATGGACCGAGTTTTCCTCCGCAGGGCCGCAGCCGCGTTTAAATAATTACTGTGTATATGTAGTGTGGGAAGTCCGCAGTTATATAATCGATGAATAGCGATGCCCTGAAGAGCCCTATAGAAGAAGCCGAAACCTGTCTGTATTCAGGGGGTGGCTTCATGAATTATTTTTATGATAAAGAGGAGGAGGCAATAATAAAAGCAGAAAGCAAAAGGAACGACAAAAAATCACGAAGGAGGAATAACTGTAACCTTCGATTAGGCGGAAGGATTAGCTCGTAAAGTCAAAAAAATTAGAGCAACAAACAAATAAACGATACATTATAAAAATGTGAGGGGGAAAAGTAATCCGAGTGGTCTCTGACTTTTAAAATAGGAGAGTCCGCAGTCGGCTTCAACAGGAGCGAGGAGTCCGCTGCGTCTGTCGAGAAGCGCGGCGAGAAAACTGTTAGAAACAGCAACAAACATATTGCATAGAAGCCTTTCTCAGGCCCGCAATAATGGACCGAAAACTGACGATGACCCACCCCGCCACCAAAAGATGAGAAAGGTAAATATCGAAAATGCCTTCTGCGAATAGCTCGACTAATTAGTTCAGCCAAGTAAAGCCCTTTTTTTTCTTTACCGAATCCGGATTTTTAGATTTCTAATGAGAATGAGCTGAAATCCATGACTTCAGTTTGATTCCAGTCGAAATTTGGAAATTTTGCAAGAAATTCATGAATCTCATAAAATTTGGAGTATTTATTCCCGAAATTCTTCAGGTCATTCACTTCACAAATTGATGATCTGCGTCGCGAATTGCATGAGAAAAATGCACATATAGCGACTTTGGAAATCTTAAGAAGTGAAACTGAATGGGATATTGGCGAACATCGTCGTTTACTTGATGAAGCTGAGAAGAGGTGATTGAGATCATTTTATCAGATATTTATCAGTTCCTCTGCTCTACAATTTCTTAATTTGATTTATTCCATAAAACGCTCGCAGAGTTCCCATTTTTTACGACGCTCAGCATTTCTGATGATGCTCGTCTATGCTCTTGTCGAGTCGGGCCGTGTCATTAGGCGGTGTCACCGACGCGTCGACAGCATCACTCGGATTTTCGAAAGACAGCTTTTCTCCTGTCTGGAGTGAAGCCACCTCGCTGAGGAGGATTTCTCCCTTTCTTTCAAGTCGTGTGTGCTTCTTAGTCGACTGCAATTATTTTTTTTTGTGATTTTAGGATCGAATTTTTTGAAGAAGCAGCCAAAATAAAAGCAAATGAAAATGAATGCCTTCAATATGAAATCGGAGCACTAAAATCATCGAATAATATTGGAGCTGATAAGGTGATAATACAAATCTTTTTAAATTTATATTTTTTACATTAAATGGTTTAAAATTTTATTTTTTTTATTGAAATTTCTAAAATTAAATTTTGCAATTATTAAAATATTTTACGATATTTTTACTCGAAATTTATAAAATTAGAAGTCTAAAATTTAATCATCGCACATAATCGTCCTCGCTCTTTGCAATAGTGCGAAATTCGGTGATATTCACTCAAAAGATTTTTGATCAAAAGATTTTTCCTTGTATTATTGTCCAAAGGCAATAAATTTAAAAGATTTTTCGTAGATTTAAACTGATTTATTTATAAATTACGCGAATTTTTAGAGGTTCTTGTCGATTTTCATGATTTTTATTTTGCTTTTTCAATAAATTTTTTCTTAAAAAATTTAATAATTGAGTTGAAAACTGAAGAAAATTAATAAAGAATTGAATTATTTTTTTGCGAATATATCTTTTTTTCATTTTAATTGCATTTCAGATTGAAGAAAATATTAAAATATACGTATTCGAATCAGAAATGAACGAACTCAAAGATCAAATAAGGTTTAATATTATCGAGTGGAATGCAATCCTATAATTTGCTTGTCTATGTCGATAAAAAACTGCAAAAATATTTTGGTACTTTTGCAGGAATCTTAATCGAACCATTGATGACGCGAAAAGGGATTTGGAATATAAGCAGAATGAACTGAATGAAATAACTAAGCAGCGAAATGATAGTGACTGGTCGTTAGGCGAGCATAAACACTGGTTGAGCGAGGCGAACTTCAAGTAAACTTTATTAGACTTTGCTTTAACGAAAAATGAGCTTTTTTACAGGGCAAATCATTTCCTTTTTTAGTACTAACCAACTGATGAAAGTAAAAATTTTCATTAGTTTAAGATAGCGAACATCGAACTATTAAAATTTTTAATATTAAATATTAATATTGATTAATATTTTAGAATAATAATTAATTTTAATATTAAAATCAATAAAATTTTTAGTTCAGTTTTCTAGCAATATGCAATGTTTTTCTTTTGCCTAATTCCACTAACTAATAGAGTACCACTTCCATCAGAAAGTCACTTGAAGAAAAAGATAAAAGTGGGGTTCCTAGTGGCCACGGATTAATGCGGTTGGCATTCACATCGACGTCGATTGAAACCATTCTTGTACGTTAATCAATGATGGATCCCATTTAGGATTAACGATTTAACAGCTCAGCTTAACGAAAAAGATCGAATAATCGATATACTGAATATTGAAATCACAAATGAACGCAGAAAACTGGACGAGTCTGGGCCTGACAGAATTAATGAGGCTAGGTTTTATGTCACTTAATCGTCATATTGCACTAATTACATTTGCTTTTTTTTATTAGAGCACTTCCTATTTTTGATTGGATTCATTCCACCGGTTTATCGAATCAGAAAATACCAAATAATCACTTGATGGTAGAAAATGCAAATGAGTCAACATAATTATCCATGTTTTTAAAGAATCCATTCATGGTTGATAGTATTAAAGCGCCAGCATATGCATATATATAGGTTTCTGGATAATTGATAATGATAACGAAATGTAAAAGCAAATTATACTGACGACATTATGGTTCCATATTATAAAAATATTTCAGGCCAATGGAAGAATTAAACAACTACAAGCAGAAATTGATCGAGTTTACATTCTACTTGCTGAAGCTCCATCATCTGATTATTGCAGGTATCGAACAGTTTTAATTGTATTCGCCTGAAGCAATTTCTATTTAATTTTTAAACTAGGATGAAATCCGCAAGGAAAGTGGTAACTATAAATCGAATGGTGGACTGCATTTATCGCAAATTAATTCCCGAATTGTGAGCGCACCTGAAATATCGTAAAATAACTCATAAATTTCGCCTTTTCGTTAGTAATAACTTGTTTAGCAATTTGGAGAATGAACTGAAGCACAAAAATAAGATTATCGAGAAATTGGAAAAAGAAAAAGACAATGCAGTGCAAGAGCATGGTCGATGGCTAATGAATGAATCAAATAGCAAGTATGTACATTAAATATATAAATATATTTGCAGACCTCAAGTCTATTTCATGGCCAAAGTCGAATATAATTCCTTCTGAAAAGGTGATATCGACTAATTCCAGTACGATAAACCAAGTATCATGCTAGCTGAAAGCAATTTTTGAGCAATGGAATATCACATCTCAAGTAAAAGTTAAAAACAGCGAAAACCTGAACACTGAATGTGAATCCAATATTCGAAACATGTTAATCTCCATTAGCTGATTTATGCATTAGGAAATTTATGAGGAAAATTGATTGGAAACAATGAAAATATCATCTTCCTGAAGCCACAGAAGGATGAAGGAAGAACAAATACAAAAACTACTGAAGAAATTAAAGAAAAAAAATATTCACAGAAAAATAGATAATGCTAAGCGTTAACCAGAAGAATTTAGCAGTGCTTAAAAGATATCTATAATATATAATACATTTAATGAATATATATTATTTATATATTATTATAAATGGAAAAATTAAATGAAAAAAGAGATTCAGTGTTATGCACTGCTTTCGAAATAGGTAAATATTTTAAACGAGATTATTCAAAAATTAAAGAGTAGAAAAATATAATGTTTAACAAATGCAAATAAAAAAATTTTCAAGGACTGACAGCTTGCAAAGAAGAATACAACATTTGCTGGAAGAACTCAGCACAAAAAATAATATAATTGATATTATAAATAAAGAAAAAGATGATGCCAGATGGCAACTCGGAGAACACCGACAATGGCTAACTGATGCTAATAACAGGTATTTTTCCACATAAAAAGTAAAAAAAAGATAAAAAATTGATAAAAATTTGATTTCATTTATGAGGACTATTTGGTGTATCGTGAAGAAATTCTAGGTGTGCTGCAATTGAAAATGATTTAAAAATAAAGCAAGAAGAAATTGACCAAAAAAATAGGATTATTGATGCAGTTAACAAGGAAAGAGATGATGCTCGATGGCAACTTGGAGAGCACCGACAATGGTTATGTGATGCTAATAACAGGTAAAACTTTTTTTTTTGTTGCTAATATGATTTGAGAAAGTTATTATCACCAGACATCGAAGCTATCTTCAGGTGTGCTGGTCTCGAAGGAGATTTAGCCGGAAAGCAGGAAGAAGTTGTTGCCTTGCGTCATAATCTTCAAGAGTTGCAGTCAAGGCCTGATGTTCCAGATGTAAGTTAATAA